TTTTGGTCCATTTTTCTAGACTTAGACCAAATACCACACTGTCTTAGTTATTATACTTCTACAGTAAAACTTGATATCTGATAGGTAGTGTCTTCCAGCTTTGCCCTTCTTATCTTGGTACTTCTGTGTCTTTTGCATTTCTATATACATTTTTAGAATTAGTTTCCCAATTTCTGCAGATAAGTCTACAGATAATATTGGGGAAGAATTGACACCTTGACATTATTGTATCTTCTAATCTATGCAAATGAGGCACATGTGCATGTATAATATATCTATTTAGATTGTCTTTAATTTTTGAACAATGTTTGTAGTTTTTAGTATAGAATTCTGTCTTAATCTGTTCTGGCTGCTATAACAACATACCTTAGACTTGGTAATTTATAAAAAATAGAAATTTGCTGCTCATAGTTTTGGAGGCTGGGAAGTCCAAGATCAGTCCAGCAGATTCAGTGTCTGGCAAGGGTTTCTTTCTTAGAAGTGGCACCTTTTATGTGTTCTCACATGGTGGAACACAAAACAGGCTCCCACAACTCATGCCTCTTTTATAAGGGCACTAATTCCATTCATGAGGGCAGAGCCATCATGACATAATCGCCTCCCAAAGGCCTGACCTCTTAATACCATCACCTTGGGGGTTAGGTTTTAATATACACATTTTGATGGAACGCAGATGTTCAGAACATAGCAAGGTCTTTCACATTTTTTATTAGATATGTTCCTAGGTATTTGATGTTTTCTTCAATGCTATTGTTGGAATTTTACAATTGACTTTAAAATTTTATATTCCACATGTTTATTGCTAATATGTTTCAAATCTAGTTAATTTTTGTGTAGCTTATGCCTAGAGACCTTGACACATTCTTTGATTAATTCTGAGTTTGTGAATTCTTTCAGATTTCACATGTGCACTATCTTTTATTTCTTTTACTTTCCTGATTGTGCTGGTGAGGCACTCCAGAATAATGATGAATAGATGTGGTACATACATCCTTCTCTTGTTCTTGATATCAAATTTGAAACTTTAAATATTTCATCATTAAGTACTATAGACCTTTAGTTTCTTTCTGGATACTTTTCTTAAAACTCACATTAAGGATGTTCTCTTTATTTTTTAGTGTGCTGATATTTTTTTGTTTTTAACGAATAGGGTTTGGAATTTTTTCAGGTGTTTGTACTGCCTCAGAGATGACTGTACGATTATTTGTTCCCCTACAGTCTTGGGATGTTCTGCTTGATCATAGTGTTTTATCTTTTTTACATACTCTTGGTTCCAATTTACTAACTTTTCGTATTATACTTAAAATTATTATTTTATACTTCAAGTAGAATGTAGAAATCCTACCACCATCTAGGTTCCCTTATCTACCATCCTTATGTTATAGATTTTATATAGATCACATAAACTTTCATCAGACAGTTTTATAATTTGTGCTTTCAAGTGGCACGTATATTTTAAAGCATTTAAGTGGAGATTAATAATCTGTTATATTTACCTAATTATTCACCATTTCTGTTCTTCCTTCTTGCCAAAAGGGCCAAATTTCATTTAACCTGAGTTATTTTCCTTCTACCTGAAGCGCTGCTTTTAGCATTTCTTTTAGATCCTATCTACTGGTGACAAATTCTCTTAGTTTTCTCTTATCTTAGTATGTTTTTATTTTTACGTCATTTCTGAAGGATATTGTCACTTGACGCAGATTTCTGGGTTGAGAGTTCTTTCCGAATTGCATAGACATTGCCCCACTGTCTCCTGGTTTCTGATGAGAAATCCACAGTCATTTAAATCCTTATTACTCTATGCCAATGTATAATGTATCTTTTTTGTTTCTGGATGCTGTCAGAATGCTTACTTTATATTTGGTTTTCAACAGCTTGATTATGATGTTTTGGTTTGTAGTTTTCTTTGATGTTACTTGTTTTGTTTTCTGTGATCCTGAATCTGTAAATGTATATCTTTCAATAAATTTGTAATGTTTTCAGAAATTTCATTTTTTCTCTGTACTAGTGTGTTTTTTCTCACCTTCAGAGACTTCAAAGACATAAGTGTTAGATCTTTTGATATTGTCCCTTAGCTATCTTTAGGTCTGTTCATATTTTGTCAGTCTTTTAAAACAATTAACTATCTTCAGATTGCATAATTTTTTGTCTGTTGTCAGATTCACTGAATCTTTTCTCTGTTACTCTTCCTCCTGCTCACTCTTCCCCTGGCTCTAAACATGTAAGACGTGCCTCCTTCCTCTTTGCCTTCCACTATGATCGTAAGTTTCCTGAGGCCTTGCCAGTCATGCTTCCTAAACAGCCTGTGGAACCGTGAACCAACTAAACCCCTTTTCTTTGTAAATTACCCAGTCTCAGGGTATTTTATTATGCTAAGCCAGTATTTTTTGAGATGCTGCATTTCTCTGTTCTAAAAATTGTATTTGGGTTTTTTTATAGTTTTTATTTTTATTTTTGTACGAGTATTTCAGTCTTTCCATTGGTTCCAATATCTAATGCAGTGTGTTTATAATACCTGTTTTAAAGTGTTTGTCTGATTAGTCCAATCTGTTTCATGTCAGATTTGACATTTCTAGGTTGTATTTTCCTTTGGAAATAGCTCATATTTGTCTGGTTTTTGATATAGCTAGTATTTTTTAATTATGTCATGGACATTCTGAATATTATGCTGTGAGACTGACTCCTTGTTGAAATCCTCTGGAGAATGTTGATTTGTGCTTTAGTAGACATCAGTCTGGCTGGGTTCAGATTGAAGTTTCATCTAAATTTTTATAGGTGGTGGTTTCAACATCAGTTCAGTTTCATGGGGATCACTGTGGTCTTATCTTGTGTTTTTTTTTTTTTGCCCGCATCTTGCTCTGTTGCTCAGGCTGGAGTGCAGTGGCATTGCTCATGGCTTTCTGCAGCCTTAACCTCAGGCTCAAGCAATCCTCCCACCTCAGCACACTGAGTAGCTGTGACTACAGGCACATGCCACCATGCCTGGCTGACATTTACATTTTTCTGTAGAGATGGGGTCTCCCTGTGTTGCCCAGACTGGCCTCAAAACTCCTGGATTCAAGCGATCCTCTTGCCTTGGCCTCCCAAAGTCCTGGGATTACAGGCATGAGCTACTGTGCCCAGCCTGCTGTTTTTTTATTGGGGACTTTGCCCATATTCTCTGGCTCTCCAAGACTGCTTTTCCTGTTTTCTTTGGTGGGAAAGATAAAGTTCTCCAAGAGTTTTAAAACTCTTGCACTGAGCATTAGCAAAAATAGCTAATGCCTGGTAGGCTTAACACCAAGGTGATGGGTTGATAGGTGCAGCAAACCACATGGCAAATGTTTACCTCTGTAACAAACCTGCACATGCTGCACATGTACCCCAGAACTTAAAATAAAAATAAAAATTAAAAACCAAAAAGTCTTGCCTTGCACCATTTTTCCTGATTTGGGCTGCTGTTGGGTCTAAGTAATGGAAGAAAAGAGAGAAAATAATACCAAGGATTATCCCCACAGCCTTTATACAGTAGGGTCTTCCTTTATTGTTTCTCTACTCAAAAATGGGTTTTCACTGAGGCTCTTAAGTACCCATACCACCACTCAACTGGTGATATGGTTTGGATTTGTGGGCCCACCCAAATCTCATGTCAAATTGTAATTCCCAAAGTTGGAGGAGCAGCCTGGTGGGAGGTGATTGAATCATGGGGAAGGATTTTCCCCTTGCTGTTTTCATCATAGTGAGTGAGTTCTTACGAGATCTGGGTGCTTAAAAGTGGTTTTGGGTGGTTTTTTTATTGGAGACTTTGCCCACATTCTCTGGCTCTCCAAGGCTGCTTTTCCTGTTTTCTTTGGGTGGTTTTCATATCTGGGGTTAACTGGTATTATAAAATGAGTTTGAAAGACAGCATTCTTTTTCAGTTCTATGGAATATTATTATTCCCTCATTTCTCATTGTTTCCATAGTTATCGTAACTATTCCAGGCGAATGTGGAACCAGCTAAAGTTCTATAAAAATTCCCCTTGACCTTTTTACAGTTAATTTTAACACACACACAAGTGAGTAAAATGCACTAATGTTTGTCCATTTGATGTCCTGTATACTTCTGTGAAACCACCACCCACACCGAGTTATAAAGCATTTCTTAGTAAGGTTTTTTGGTATTTCTCACCAGCCAGATGTAACACTGTTCTTATTTCTATGAATAATTTTACCTCTTCTTGAGCTTCATATAAAGGTAATAATACAGCAAGATTTTTTTTCTTCTGTCTTCTTTCATGTGCTGTAACAACTGTTAGATTTATTCGTGTTGTTTAATATATTAATAATTATTTTTCAATCACAGAATTCCATTGCATATATATATATATGCCATAATTTATTCACCGATTCTACTCTGTGTATTTATAATGTTTCTATTTTTAGTGGTTATGAATAAGCTTCTGTTAATATTTATGTGCAAGTTTTTGTTGTACATATGAAATAATTTAGGGGGATACACATTTGGGAGTGTAGTCATAGGATCATGGAGTATGGTTAGTGGGAATTACCAATTAATTATCAAACGATTTCCCAAATGGTTATGCTGTTGTATACTCTAACCAGCAATGCATCTTTGCCAACACTGGTATTCTATTTTATTTTTAATTTGGGCTTTTTGGCAGATGTGCCCTGTTACTTCATTGTGGGTTTATTTTGCATTTTCTTGATGAATAATGGTACCGAGTAGCTTGATTATTGACTATAAGTATTCTGTTTTGTGAAATACCTGTTGAGATTTCTTTTTTCCCAGTTTAAAAATTGGATTATTAGTTATTTTGTTACAAGGAGTTCTTTATATATGTTGAGTATAAGTTCCTTGTTTGTAATTTTGATGCCATTGAATGTATTAATTTTTTTCTCTTCAGAGTTTTTTTTTTTTGCTTCTTGTTACTTAGCTCAGATTTATTATTCTGTGTTTATTTTTAGAAGAATTATTATTTTTCATATTGAATTTCCATCCTGAATTAATTTTTGCATATTAAGAGAAGATGGAAGTTTTATTCTTAATTTTTGCGTACTTTTAAAAACTGTGCTGTTCCCGTTTATTGACAGTGCTGTTCTTTTGAATTGCGTTGGCTCCTTCGTCATAAATAAACTTTTACTGTATCCGTGTGGGCCTGTTTTGGACTGCATTATATTTCATTCACTTGTTTGTCCTTAACTCTGGTGGCACTTTGTCTTACTGAGTATTGCTTTTTAATAAGTCTTGAAATTAGAAGGTCTAAGTAAGGCCTCCAACTTCGAGGTTTATAATTAATGGAAAGCTATTAAATATCTTGGCATATTATGTCCTACAAATATGACTAGCTTTAACTTAATTAAAAAAAATTGAAGATAGAGAATATAAGATGAAAACAGTGTTACACACAATAATAACTACATACCCACCAAAATGTGAAATTATGTTCAATTCTTTTATCTTGTTAATTTTAAAACAAAGGTGAAGAAGTACCTGTCAGAATGAAAAAAGTAAAAAGATTCAATAGTATTTGATGTTTGTGAGGTGGTCAGAAAGTAGGCACTGTTACGCATGCTTGGTAGCAGTGTGAATTAGATCAGGCCCTCTGGAAGATCATTGAGCAGTGTGCTTCAAACAGTAAGGGTAAAATATTTTTAATCATAAAATTAGAGCTATTAAAATGACTCTTTGTTAACTGTAGACTTTCATAGATAATAATGTCATCTAGGGGAATTAAAAATCAGAGATAAAATCATTATGTACTTTTCTAGGGTAGTTAACAATGCTCAGTTTCTTTGTTTTCCTTGAAGGATGGTAAATTTTAGTGTTGTAATGGGGATTGTGGATGTCAAATGTTAGTAAAGTATGTACGCATGTTATTCCATTGGCTTCATGCTCAAGAAATTTACCCTCTTGATGAATGGAAAAGTCTTTTATTGGAGAACACTACATGGCAGTTTGCATTAAAAGATGAATAAAAATATAATGAAATGCTCCAATATACTGTATACAGGATAAATCCTTTGAAAGATTAATGAAGGAAAGTATCAACATTTGGCAAAATTATCAGTATAGGATTAAATGGACTAGGTGGATTTGAATTGGATTTTGAGGATAAAGTTGTATAGGCAGGGATAATGAACATGCTGAATTATATAGTGTAAACAAGTAGGGAAGAGTGAGGAGATAAAAATTGTTATTGAATCCGTTAATTTCCTTAATCTTTTGGTCTAATTTTCTAGGATGCCAGTTAATCGTTAGAGATAGACACATAGAGCGTTTAAATGTAAATGGTGTGTGCTTTTCTGAACATAAGTTCAGTTGTCTTTTGAGGTCTTTTGAATGTTCTGTTGATGAATGGTGCTGTTACTGTGTTGATGATATTATAAACTCTATTTTGGAAGCATAATTAAGTGATAATTATAACATGAAAAAATAGGAAAAATTATTTTTATGAATGAATATCAGTTAATGAACTATTTTCTAAAAAAGAACTTCCTTAATCTTTGGTTTGGAGCAACAGAATAAATAACTCAAGTATGTGCTCTCAATAGAAATTTAAGGTAATTTATTTTATTTTTAAAATATGTAGATGAAAATATTAGTTCATCAGGTGATTGAATAATAGTACAGTATTTTCCTTCCAATTCCACTGGCTTCATCTTAAAAGAGTAAATGATAAAACCTTGTTATGTTAAAGTGTATTGTATTTGTTCATTCACAAAAATATACTGAGAGCCTAGGATATTCCTGGAACTTTTCTGTGCTGTAGGAAAATATTGCTGGACAGAACATACATGGTCACAGGCTAGTTGAACTATTGATTCAGACATATTTTCATGAATCCTCTGAAGCTTTTTGGACCCTTGTTTGGTTCACTGGCCTAATTATTATCATTTTGTCTCTTTAGGCAGAGATTTTCCTGTCAGACCCTTTTGCGTAACCTGTGGATTTACCTTTGGGTCATGTTTCCATCTACAGCCCAGTCAGTTGTGGTTGCAGAGGTGTGTGGTACATGATGTTCCTCCCTCGTGCGGATTATAGGCTGGGCAGGTTTTCTTGTTTTCTCCTTAGATGTGTTTAGGAACAGTGGCCTCCCTAGCTAGCACATAGCTTGCTAACGTTTCAATTTCCAGTCTACCAATTACATCATCTCCATTTATTAACTCAGTCTAGTGGATTCTTTTTTATTCTTTTATATTTTTAAGTCAATTTATGAACAATGCAGAATAGTGAAAAGCCACCTTATCAGAAATGTTAATAAGAATTTAAGCTTGGCAAAACTGTTATGTCAAGTAAATTTTGGTGCACAAACATCATAAAAGATGAAAGAGTATTGTCACACTTTCACTTTTTTTTTTAAATGGCAAAACCAGATGATCCAGGTTGTTGCAGAATATTGCATGAAAAAGTACTTTCAGTTGAATGACCAATTGGAGAATACTGTATTTCCTTTTTTGTCCTTTGAAATATCTTGTTCACTCAGTTCTTAATATTCAATACTGTATTCATCTAGGATATTATAATTAGTCTGATGTATCATGTACGTGATTGTTTTGCCATCTTTATTAGAGTCTAGAGTGCTGTTGTCTCTTTGTACCCACCTTTTCATGTATCTATTCATTATAAGATATCTTTCTTTGTCAGTGTTTTTCTCTTTTCTATAAGTGAAAGAAAACGAAAACTATTGAATTAATGAATATGTTAAATGAAAGTGAAATGGACTAGAAAGATGGTGTCTCCAAGCTTTTTAAATACCTTCTTGAAAGATGAGGCGATTTGGGCAACACAGTATAAAAACTGGATGATAATTTATTTCACTACAGCATCAACTTTGTAGGACAGGGCTTTGCGAACTTTACCTTGTTGGGTGCCTGTTTTTGCAAATCAAGTTTTTTTGGAACATGGCTGTGTTTGGTCATTTACAAGTGGCTACTTTTACACTACAATAGCAGAATTGAATAGTGGCAAAGATAATGTGGCCCACAAACCTAAAGTATTTACCGGCTGGCTCTTTAAGAAAAAGTTTGTCAACTCTTTTTCTAGGATATTATCTCATTTTCCCTTTTTTAAAATATACTTTTTATTTTAGTCTTAAATTTTTTTTTTCTAGTGTGATAGGGTATACTTGGATGCTGATCAGTACTGATGAAATAATCCCTAGGATTATGAAGTAGCTTTGTTTCAAGATAGAGGAAAGATAAGACAAGATATTATCTTATATTTATAAAAAGTTTCATTGAATCCATATGATAGCTGTGCAAGATGGAATGAGTTCTGTTTCATTACTAAAGAATATAATAATACTCTGTTTTCTTTGGGAGACCTATAAGAAGGAATAAAAATACATCTAAGAAGGCTTGATCATGAAATATGAACCCTTATAAATAGTTAAATTTGCTAAAAAACAAAAAACCCTCAAAAAGAAAAAATGAACCCAGCACGTTGTGATGACGTAACAAGGTTTCATTCTCATAAATTCATACATTGTTACCTCATATCTTTGAAAAGTCCTATTTAAAAAAAAAACAAACATGTATCTAAACTGTCTGGCTTTTTTTTTTTTTTTTCTCGCAAGAAAACATTACAAAAGTTAAGGTTGTGATTCTCCGCCCAACTTACTTTAACTGCTTATCCCACATTATTCTCGCCTATTGAGTCATGTGGCATGGGCTATCATAATTCAGCTTAAGTTTTTTTAAATTATAAATCATAGGTATTATAGCACAAAATTTATTTTTAAGATAGATATTTGGAATTGACTTTTATTTTGTCCAGAGTGTTAAGAACTTTTTGATTTTTCATTTTGTTTTTTTTAAAATGATATACCTGATTGTGTCACTGAAGTGAAGAATTCACCACTGTGAAAACTATGATAGACTAAGGAGTAATTTGGAAGTATTTATATACATGTCATGTTCAGATTTTGGTGTGAGAAATACATGTTTTATCTCTTAATTTCTATGTTTATATTAACATTTTAATGTTTATTATTTTAACCAAGGTTATTTTATTCCAGCAACTTTCAGGGGAAATTTTAATTCATATTGAGATATATAATAGCTGGTTTTGAAATCTGATTACAAAAGCATGAAGATTCTTATTCTCACAGAAAAATTTCCCTTATACAGTAAAGCTGAATATTTAAATCAGGTGAATAATTTATATTCTTAATAATTAAAACTCAAGTAAGTCATAATTTTAAGATTATTAAACCAAGATACATTTTGTAGGTAAAAAGTCAGAAGAACTATTAACATAAATCATAACCTGCTTTTTAAAAAAGTATAATACTAAAGGAATAGTCATAAATATTTTGTCTTTATTTTTTAAGGCAAGAGGCGCAGATGTTCCTGAGATTCCTGGAGATCTTACTCTTAAGACGTGTGGCAGTACAGCCAGTATGAAGGTTAAGCATGTGAAAAAGTGAGTATAACTTTACAGTGGGTTCTAAATGAATTCCTATGAATGGAAATCAGTTCTTTAGTTCTCTTAAAATTTTATTTAGACTTTTTACAAAAATATGCTGTTACTGTGCAATTGTTAATCCTTAAATTATGACTCAGCAGTGGAATAGGCCTACAGATTATCCACTCATCTAAAATATACTTTATTTTTGTTCTTGAAGCAACTTATGTCATTTTCTGTTATGTTACAGTTGTTTGATAGGTACAATCTAACCATGTCATTCTTGGTACACTTAGTGCATGCTCTCATTCATTCAGAAATACCAGCTTTATTGTCTGAGTTATGAGATTATTAGATTTCAGGTTTGCCTTTGAGGAGCATGAAGTAGATGCCAAGAGTTGACTATTAAGTGAAATACAGGTTGAGCATCCCTAATCTGAAGCTATGAAATCCAGAGTGCTCCAAAATGTGAAACTTTTTGAGTGCCAACATGGTAGCACAAATGGAAAATTTCACACCTGACCTTACGTGAGTGTTCGCAGTTAAAATTTTGTTTCATGCACAAAATTATTTAAAATATTGTATAACATTACCTTCAGGCTGTGTATAAAATGTATATGAAATATAAATGAATTTTTTGTGTAGACTTGGGTCCCAGCCCCAAGATATCCCATAGATACAAGCAAATATTCCAAAATCTGAAAAAATCTGAAATCCAAAATTCTTCTGGTCTCTGTGTCATTTCGAATAAGGGCTATTCATCTTGTACCTGAAGCTAATCAGTTTTAAACAGGAAAACCGTCTTTTCACTTGGTAGAGTTAGATAGCCATGCTTCATGTGTAAGCAGAGGAAAGACAAAGATAAACATGTTCATTCTGCGTCCAGGTCCACCACTCCAGGACTGATGGGCTGTGACAACATTCACAGGTAAAACCTGGTTTCGTACTTTGTGTTGGGAATGCTGCTCTGGTTAGAAGCTGGCTGTTCACAGTTTCCATAACATTTGCTGAAAATAACAGTGTTTCTTTGGACATTGATTTGGGTCAACAATAGGAGATACGGTGATGCTTTTTTTATTTTTGGTTTTGTTCTGTACACTAAATATAATACTCATCTGATTCAGTGTATTTTTAAGAGGATTTGTGTGGATATGTGTGGCTCATGCGCATGTGCTTACTAAATATTTTTGCTTGCATGAGCTTTTAAATCCATTGTATTTTCCCCTTAAACTTAGTAATTTTTACTATTTCACTATCTTGTTTTTTATTTATTTCATGTGTTTCAGGTTACCCTTCACTAAAGGTCACTTTCCGAAGATGGCTGAATGTGCGCATTTCCATTATGAGAATGTTGAGTTCGGCAGCATACAGGTATATTGAAATATTTCTTACATCCTGATTTAAGGTTTACATATCTACCTTTATGTCTATATGCTTATCTGTATATCTGCATCTAATAGATGACACTTTGAAGTAGTTTTTTTTAAATTGATGTCTGATTGGTTGAGGTAGAATCTTCTCTTCCGTTGACAAATACTTGATGTCACGTTGACATATAAAAGTAACCATCACGCTAACATGTATCAGTTAAGGAAAATCAGTCCTGTCCCCCTCTGTTTTCCTATATCATGTCCATATGTCCATGGCTTTGTGTAGTGACTTTCTATTCTGACCTTATATAACCTTGTCTTAATTAATTGTTGTGCACTTTGATACTTGGTAGATTAAAGTGTTCTCACTTTATTCTTTTTCAGAAATGTTTTTACTGTTACTGCTTTTGCATTTACATACAAATTATTGAATCTAACTTGACATCAAGCTACATACTTTGCTCTTATTATATCATTGGCAGCTTAATGTCCTTTGTACATTATATCTGTATTAATGTGAAAAAACTATTAAAAACTTAAAAAATAGCCAGATTGTGGTTATTTAAAAAATTATATTTTCCCAGGGGAACAGAAACCACTCTTTACATTGTCTTTTCAAAATAGGCTAATAGAAAAAAAAGTCTTGATTTCTACACACAGCATGGAGAGGTAGTCCACTTCCTGTCCTTGCCCTGACCACCGTCTGTCCAGAAGAAGACTCATGAGACATGATTGATTTGTGTCACAGTGTGCTACTTTTTGTAATTTTATTTCATAAACAAGTGAGATGAATTTGATCTATAGGATTTATGAAAGTGAAGGACATTTCTCTTTCAAATAAATTGACAGTTTAAAATAGCACTAGAGATTTATAATGCTGTGACATCAAACAAAGGATATTTTGTTCCATTAGTGTGTATGTCCTTGGGACTGCAGTTATCATGATAAATTTCTTAGGTCAGGAAGAGCTGATTAAGAAAACAGTAATGAGTACATTTTTCATTTTGTGACTGTTAAGCATTTGATATATCTGTTTGAGTGATTTAGTTTACTTAGCTTGCAATTCAGCTAAACTATTTTCTACTTAATTTATTTTGCTTTTTTTTTTTTTATCTTTACAAGATTGAATGAGCTCTTTTGGAGGTGGTAAACATTGTAAGGAGTTTTAGCAAAGTGAAAAGAAATAGGACGCTAGAGATCTAAAACCAAAGAATATTTAAATGTTAACATTATATGAAAGGTTAGGAAATCTCTAAAGCATCTGATTTAAAATAAAAACAGAGCTATTATTGGTAAGCATTGTATAATGAAATAGAAAAAGCACTGGCCTTAGTTCACAAACATAGATTCTAATTTTCTTTTTGCTTCTTAGGAAGTTTATGACCTTGGGCAAGTAGCTTCGCCTCTTTGGTTTTATTTCCTTTATGAGGTGAATGAGGTTGTGCTAAATAGTATCATAGTTCTAAACATTTATTATTTTATATTTAAAGAGTTTATAATGGCTGCATTGAGGATGTGGGTAGGGAATAGACAGTTGTTACTCAGCTGCGTTTGGCTCTCTTGAGATTTTGTTAAATGCCTGTTATTAGAGTCCAGTTCTCTTAATTGGAGGACTGTGTCTCATTTTTATGGGGAGAACACATTAGGGAGACTTTCTACCAATGAACAGACCTGTAATCTTCATTTTAGAGGGTCATACCGTGTTTCACTTTCTCGATTGCACTTACTTCAACCCTGTAAAATTCCATTACTCAGGCAGAAGAGGGAAAAAAGATATGATACTAAGTCAGTGTGTGACCCTGCATATATGAGGTGTATGAGTGAGATGTTTGAGGATTGTACTGATTGACCACGAGGCCTCTGGAGTATGGAAGATAGGGGTGGTTCAGAGGAAACCAGCCCAGCTGCACCTTGCTGGGCCACACCAGAATCATCTTTCTCTGTTGACTGTGCTCTATTTGGCACACCTTTCCTGCCAAGTTTTGTCCTGCCTCTGTTCTGTGTCTTTGGAGACTGGCCTCTACATACCACGTCTACCAGTTTTGCTTGCCTTCTGTTTCTGGATGAATTCAGCCCACGTCAGATACCATCAGGAGGAAAACATTAGTTTTCATTAACTAAGTTGTGTAGCAAAAGAACTGTAATAGTATCCTGACTTGACTTACATGCTTATGTTTTTTTTTAATCTTGGGTTGCTGTTCTCTCTTTGGCTAGTATAAGGTTTTACATTTTGATGGACCTATTGAATGCCATTTAAAGAAAAAAACAGTAATATTAACCTCTAAACAATCCTGCGTTCTGTCTGCTACAAGAAGTTAAAGTTCATATGTCTCAGTTCTTATTCTTTATCATTTTATAAACGTCTTGCTTTTTACACAGGTAAATATTAGCACATTTGATTCTAAACATGTTTATGGAAAATGAATCCTTTATTTTCAGTATAAGGTTGGAATATGTTCTGAAGAGAAAACAAGTAAGACAACTTAGTAAAATGTATCAATAATAGATAATCAGTTGTTCGCTGGGCAGCTCTAGTATAAATCAGTAGGTTGTTCATACTGTCACTCGGCCAACTTGGTTGTTGCTTTTCATATGTACCAATTCTGGAACATTCTGCAGTGACATACCTTCTCTTTTTTACTCTGATCTTAGAAATTTCTCTTTGATTTACAGATTTATTGTCTTTGTGTTTACAGCTCTTCCCTTCTCTTCAGATCTGAAAGTTGGTAATTGCCATTGGCCATCATATCCTAGTATGGACAGAGATGTTAACGTCTTCTACATTTTTAAACATCCGGACAAAATAATCTTTAACTTTTGGGCTTTTAGTCTGGAATGAAATAGTTATTTTTTTATTTTTATTTTTTTTATTTTTTGAGACCGGAGTCCCTCGCTCTGTTCCCAGGCTGGAGTGGGCAGTGGCCGGATCTCAGCTCACTGCAAGCTCCGCCTCCCCGGGTTTACGCCATTCTCCACTTGCTCAACCTCCCGAGTACCTTGGGGACTACAGGCGGCCCGCCACCTCCCCCCGGGCTAGTTTTTTGTATTTTTTAGTAGAGACGGGGTTTCACTGTGTCAGCCAGGATGGTCTCGATCTCCTGACCTCGTGATCCGCCTGTTTCGGCCTCCCAAAGTGCTGGGATTACAGGCTTGAGCCACCGTGCCCAGCCAAAATAGTTATTTTTAATCCTATATGTTAGAAATTCCAATGATCAATTTTGTTTAGTCTGAAAGACACAGTTGCTTAAAAAACAATTTAGACGTAAGTCAGTACTTTTACTGGGTCAGTACTGTCATTACCATATAATGATATATAATGTACAAAGGACATTTTTATGATCTCTCCTTTGAATTCCAGCCTTGTATATCCAGCTGACTTCCCTGCATCTTCACTTGGATGCCTAATAACAGCACAATCATTGCAGCATGTCCAGAACAGTCTTTCAGACCTGCTCTTTCTGCTGACTTCCCATCTTGGTAAATAGCAATTCTATCCTTTCAGTTCCTGAGGCCAGCCAAGAATCGTGGAGCATCTTGGACATCTCTCTTTCCGTCAGTCTTCACATCCAGTCCATCAGCAGGTTTTTTGGCTCCATCTTTAAAATAAATCCAGGATCTAACCATGCCCACCTGCTTCTCTGCTATCACCTTACACTAAAGCATTGTCTTTTGGGAGGATTATTTCAATAGACTTCTATAGTTGGCACAGCAGCAAGAATGATTCTTTTCAATGTAAGTCCAATCATGTCACTTTTTAAAAACTCTCCAGTTAGTGTTCATCTTATTCAGAGTAAAAGTCAGATTTCTTAAACTTTTCTACAAGGATTTACAGAATGTACCCTTACTTTTCCGACCTCATCTTTCTTCTCTTCCCCTTGGACAGGGTGATCCAGCCACAGTGGCCTCTTTGTTTTCTGCCAGTATGTGTACCCCCTTCTCAGGGCCTTGGTACTTTTTGTTTCCTCTACTTAAAGTACTCCTTTAGGAGAGCCACACACCTTGCTGCCTCCTCTTTTAAAAGTACTTGCTCCAGTGCTGTCTTCCCAGACTGCACCTTCCTTACATAAGATTGCAACTCTAGTCAGCGGCTTTCCTCATCTCCCTCTTGTTTATTTCCCTCCATACCGCTTAACACCATTCGGCATGCTAAATATTTTATTATTTATTTTCTTCCCCTCAACATCTAGAACAGTGGTTGACACATTAAAAACTACTCAATGAATATTTGTTTAATGAATAATAGATGAATGAGATGAATGGATGCATGAGTTTATATTTGAAGAAGAGATACAATTGGTTTTAAAAATGCTGTTTTACTGTTTTGTTTTTATTTATCATTTAAAATTTGTTCTTATATGATAAGAATATATATTCCTTATGAGTGTTTATTTATTATAAAACAAATTATGTAACCATCCTGTTTAAGTCTCAGTTTGGTTCCTTCAGTTGTAATGTGTGGTATAGGACAGATATTATGCTGAGGAGAAAGGTGCTGGTGTGGTGTAGAATGGGTATGGCCAGCTGCTGCAATTAGCCTGGGTCTTGCTTTCCTTATCTTCACACTGAAAAGCAAGTACGGTTACTAGATACACTAGAATACTAGGTGACAGCTAATGTTCCTTCAAGCTAAGAAATTGTAGATGAACTATGAGTTCTGATTCAGGTTGTGATAAGGTGAAGAGGAAAAGAGATATAACAGCACAGGGGAGGAGAAGTTGTATCATGCCATATTCTTATTTTAGTCTGCTTCCATAGAGCTTGAATAAACTATTAATATCTATAAAAATTAGTACAGATAATTGCTCATGTCATAGAAGTAGCTTGTTGAAACATCTTTATATTCCTGGGACACGTTATGCTGAGTTATATATATATATATTTAAAAGTAAATTCCTTTTTTACACTCTACTAAGATTTTATAATTTCTGCATCTATGTTTATTGGTGGAGTTAACCTGTGTGCTATACTTGTCCCACTAGCCTAAGACTGGGGAATTTCTGC